CCTACTAACTCAGAAAACAAAAGAAAGAAAATACCTGTCCCTTTCTTCATCCCCTTCCGACCGGCCCCATCGGGACTCCACCTTGAGCACGAGGCTGAGGTCCCAGACCAGCTCCTCTCCCCGCGGCCGGCTCCCCTCCCCACCGGGGGTGATGGTGGTGATGATGATGGTGGTGATGATGGTGATGGTGATGATGGTGGTGATGATGATGATGGTGATAATGGTGATGATGATGATGATGGTGATGATGGTGGTGATTATGGTGATGATAATGATGATGATGGTGGTGATGATAGAAGTCATGATGCTGGATGACGGTGAAGCACACCTCTCTGAGCCGTGTGCTAAACTAGGGACTTTTACCCATACTCTCCCTGATCCTCACAGCTGCTATAAGAAAAATTATTTTCCAAGTTTTGCAGGCGGTAAAAGTGAAGCTCAGAGAGGTGAGACTTCTCCCCGGGGGTGCCAGTGCAGAGCTGTGCTGGCAGGTGGGCCTGGTCTGAACAGCCGCCCACCCTGCTGGCACTTATTCAGCGCATGCGGTGGGGCTTCGGAATGTGCCCAAAGCACTTCCATCTTCGTGGGGCATCAGGGCGCTGCGGGGGCGGTTCTCAGACGCTTGCCCTCGGTGGATCATGCCACAGTGCCCCACTGGGTTCCGCTGACACCGCGTGAGCAGTTAATGTGCCGGAAGTGGCTGTGCCACGTATGGACAATTGGCCGATTTTCATGCTGTTAGGTTTCTGGTTTCCATATTTGGGTAAATGCAGTCTTACAAATCATTCACTGTTACCTTGAGAAACCCAACACCATAGGTTTGTTGAATTGAGGCTTTAAACCGTTTTCCAAACACAGGGTTGAACATGGGTCCTGGAAGGTTAAACTCAGCTGAAAGCGGTGGGCGGGCCGTTCTCGGCCGGGCTGGGGACTTCCTGACGCTTTAAAGAAAATAAAGTGCGAGCTGGTGAAGTAAAAGTACCAGCGATAGTGGTCGTAGCCACCAGCACTTCCGAGAGATCCCCAGTCACAGGTGATGGAGGTGTTAAACACCTCCTCCGGGCAAAGGCCGCTGGCTCGGAAGCCTCAGGCGGAGACCCACCTGGGGGCTGCCCTGCCCCAAACCCACTCCGTGTGCTGTTCTCCTTCGGGACAGAGCTCCCGGGAGGAAGCAGCCATGAGCTCCCGTCTCACTTCCCACCCCCAGGCCCTGGTCATGGGCGACGCCCTCACCGAGGCCATCGCTCCTGAGACACTGCCCTGCCGCA